CAAGAAGAACAACAACAACAACAACAACAACAACAACAACAACATCACTATGATGATGATCAACACCGTCCCTTACATTCTTAATAAAGTGTTGTTCATTCTTAGTAAGAGTTTCCCAATCCCTCAAGTCTTGACCTAAATCTATCTCCTCAGCTGTCCAGAACGATGCCTCGTGTTGCTTGTACCTACAACAACAGTTCTTGGAGTAGGAATATATGTAATCGCTTTCCTCAGCTACTGAGCTCAGGAGTTTCCTATACAGTGTTGGAGTAGGAATATATGTTTGCTTTCCTCAGCTACTGAGCTCAGGAGTTTCCTATACAGTGTTGGAGTAGGAATATATGTAATCGCTTTCCTCAGCTACTGAGCTCAGGAGTTTCCTATACAGTGTTGGAGTAGGAATATATGTTTGCTTTCCTCAGCTACTGAGCTCAGGAGTTTCCTATACAGTGTTCGAGTAGGAATATATGTTTGCTTTCCTCAGCTACTGAGCTCAGGAGTTTCCTATACAGTGTTCGAGTAGGAATATATGTTTGCTTTCCTCAGCTACTGAGCTCAGGAGTTTCCTATACAGTGTTGGAGTAGGAATATATGTAATCGCTTTCCTCAGCTACTGAGCTCAGGAGTTTCCTATACAGTGTTGGAGTAGGAATATATGTTTGCTTTCCTCAGCTACTGAGCTCAGGAGTTTCCTATACAGTGTTCGAGTAGGAATATATGTTTGCTTTCCTCAGCTACTGAGCTCAGGAGTTTCCTATACAGTGTTGGAGTAGGAATATATGTTTGCTTTCCTCAGCTACTGAGCTCAGGAGTTTCCTATACAGTGTTGGAGTAGGAATATATGTTTGCTTTCCTCAGCTACTGAGCTCAGGAGTTTCCTATACAGTGTTGGAGTAGGAATATATGTTCGCTTTCCTCAGCTACTGAGCTCAGGAGTTTCCTATACAGTGTTGGAGTAGGAATATATGTTTGCTTTCCTCAGCTACTGAGCTCAGGAGTTTCCTATACAGTGTTGGAGTAGGAATATATGTTTGCTTTCCTCAGCTACTGAGCTCAGAGTTTCCTATACAGTGTTGGAGTAGAATATATGTTCGCTTTCCTCAGCTACTGAGCTCAG